AAAAAAAAAAAGATTCCAAGTGGGGAGCAGTGCAGGGGGCTTATTCCATTTTGGAATAGGAGACATCACAGGTAGAGAAAAGAGCCTTGGGGTTGGAAAGGCTGAATTTGTTTGCCAGTTCTAGCGTGAATTAGCTGTGTGACCCTGGGCAGTTGAACTCATCTGAGCCTCAGTTTCTGTGTATATATAAACACCAGGTGATGGTGTCCTTGGGCACTGAAATCATTCAGTGAAATGCTGTTGGTGGAGGCGTCTAGGATGGTATGGCTTTGAGTAGGAGCTCAGTGAATGTTGTTGCCTCTCTTGCTCTATTTCCCACTTCTTCCTAGAAACTCAGATCTTCACTCCAGCCAAGGTCTTTTTGGGTGACTAACTAGCAGATGGTGATGGGATCCAAGGAGCAGTTTTATTGGACAGAAAGTCTTGGTGTCTTTTAGAACTTCCAGAGAGGTCCAGAGACAAAGTGACCGTGTTTTGCTCTTCCAGACGTGGTTGGAGGAGGAGATGTGGACTCCATCTAGTACTGTTCGCTCACTGCACTGATGTGGCTTGAAGTTCCTCCTGTTAGTCGTTTCCATCATTTATTGCCTTTTGGAATTAATAAGTTCACCTGGAGAAATAGTCTACCTCATATATAGCTGAAATGTAGAAAGCTGTTTTCAAGGGTGGAGAGGAAGTCCAGGTAGGCAGGAACATTGATTGCTTCTCACTGAATAGCACGTGGACTGACACTTGGAGTCGAGACTCTGTTATTTATCTCTGTTGTTGCAGCGGTAAGGACAGGCCCTGCCTATAGCAGGAGCTCAGCACAGTGATGATTCGGTGGATGTCTTTTAAAAATTACTTTATATGACCCTGATACGTGCTACAGCACCCATGAATTTTCAGGACATTATGCTATGAGAAATAAATGAAAAATGCATTAGGACAATATGATGATTCTAGTTATGATGTAGTCAAATTCATAGAGACTGAAAGTGGAATGATGTTTGCCAAAGGCTGGGAATGGGGAAGGGACTGATAGAACTATATGCCTATGTCTATTTCTAGAGAGGGAGAGAGAGAGAGACAGAGGAGGAGAACTGGGAAGATTTGGAACAAGACTTGATTATTTACAGGTTTCACTTCTGTTTTTCAATCAGGGCATTTGGCTGTGGGAAATGGTGACAACATCCTGGGTGCGTCTGGCACCTAGGCCTTCCCAGCCCTGGCTCTTTGTCGGAGTATGGCTGGGAGTGTGGGACCCAGCACAGAGGACCTAGGTGAGGCCTGGGAATGTGGGGGAGGGTAGATTAGGCCATGGATGCCTAAGGCTGGTTCTTTTACCATGTTAGGGCTCTGGTCAAAGTTGAATTCTTTGGGTGTTATGTTGCCACAGAGCCTGCATGGTGTCAGTGCAGACTCATCCTCTCATTTCCAGGAGAAACAGTTTGGGAGGCGATAGGGTCATTCTTTTTAAAATTTTCATTAGGACGTGTTTGCAGTACATAATGATTACATTCATTGCGGGGAGTTGGTACATAACACATTCAGTGCTTTTTTATCCCTCTCCCCTCCACTTCTTTTCTAAAATTTTTTTTGCCAGCATCACATTTATTTATTTAAATATTTATTTATTTTATAAGTCTTTATCAAGTTAATTATCATAAACACAGATCAATAGCCAGACTAACAGGCCAGAGGATAGGGTCATTCTTATCAATAAAAGATGGTGCATTCTCACACTCACATGGATATCAAGTATGGAAGTGCTAGAAGGGCCCAAGACTTGATTTGCTCAAGAAAGACTAGGGTGGGGGGTGATGAGCCTTGTTAGCTATTGAGACCTTAGCTTGAGTCAGTTTGTCAGGTTTCATGGCCACCGTCAGGAGTGTGGGGAGGCTGAATGGGGGAGCAAAATATCAAGGCCTTGGGAGAGAGGAAACCACTTAGAAACTGCAATGGCGTGCCTTTGAATTCTGCTAAGAAGTATAATAGCTAATAACATTTATTGAGGGCTTACCATATGCCGGAAACTTTTTGTCTTTCTTTTTTTTTGAGACAGGGTCTCGCTATGCAGTTCAGGCTGAACTTGAGCTCATTTTGTAGCCCAGGCTGGTCTTGAACTCACAAGATCCTCCTGCCTCAGCCTCCCCAGTGCTGGGATTACAGATGTGTGCCACCACGCCCATATGCCAGGAATTGTTTAAAGCATATCTATTTTTCAATGGGAAAGAATTGCATCTTTATTTTTATTACCCCTAGTAGATACTTAGCAAGTCTTTCCTTGATGAGTATGGTAACAGGCCATGATATTATTCACAGGGCTGTGAGTTTGTCATCCTGGATGTCACAGATATGGATACTGAGAATCAATAAAAAGATCTAGAGTATTTTCTCTGCTTTGGTTATCGGAAGATACGAGAGCAGAAATGGCTTTTTTCATTGCTTTGTGAGCCATGTCAGCATAGCCGCTGAGGGAAGCTGCCTGGCATGCTGTTGAGAAGGCGATATGAGCAACATTTTCAGGTTACTGCTGATGGAAATTCCCGTGGATATCTTCAGGCTGAGATGTTCATTTATTAGGCTCCTATGGAAACCTGAAAAGGGCTCTGATTAACTCGTCAGTCTCATTTAATTTTCTTTTCCTCCTCTATTCATGCCTTACTTAATGAGACCCAACTCATGTCCCATGCAATTTACCCTTTTAAAGTGTATATTTCGGTGGTTTTTAGTACATTCACAAAGGTGTACAACCATCACTACTGTCTGATTCCAGAACATTTTTATCACTCCAAAGAAGACCCCTCAGCATTACCTAACTCTCCACCCCTACCTCCTGGGCCTGGCAATCATTAATCTTCTTTCTAGTTCATCTTGTTTTATAGCTTTCAGTTTGTAAGTCTTGTACTTCTTTTGTTTTATTTATTTATTTATTTTAAAGGAAAGTATTTGCCAGAGGACTTTATTTTTTGGTCTTTTTTTTGGAGACAGGGTCTTACCATACAGTTCAGGCTGGTCTTTTTATTTATTTATTTATTTATTTTGGTTTTTCTCCGGTACCGGGAACCGAACTCACGACCTTGCGCTTGCCAGGCAGGCGCTTTGCCGCTGAGCTAAATCCCCAGCCCAGTTCAGGCTGGTCTTGAACTCACTTTGTGGCCCAGGATGGCCTTGAACTCACAATGATTCTCCTGCCTCAGCCTCCCAAGTGCTGGACAGAGGGCTTTTTCTAGTGAGCAACATTTCTTTTCCCCTGGTGCCAGGGATAAATCCAAGGCCTCACACATACTAGGCAAATGCCCTACTATTGAGCTACAATCCCAGCCCTAAAAATGCTTACATTGTGTGTGTGAGTGTGTGTGTGTGTGTGTGTGTGTGTGTGTGTGTGTGTTACTGCGGATAGGACCAGGGCCTTTGAACTGAGCTATAGCCCCAGATTTTAAAATTTGTTTATTTATTATTTTGTTATGAACAATGCTTTTAGATAAGGCCTCGCAAATTCTGTAGGTTGCTCAGACTGGGTTTGAATTTGCAGTTCTGCTGCCTCAGCCTCTCATTGTCCCTGGGTTACAGGCTTATGCTACTTCGCCTGGCTAATGCTTGTTTATTTTTTTGAGGTAAGGAACATTTTTACTGACAACTTTATTTTAACCCTAAGACTGTAATTTTCATCACACACACTTATGTTTCATTCCCATCCACAAAGCATTTCCTTTTTCAGTTTTCCCTTTGGGTCTTACAAAACAGATGGGCAAGGCAGGTATTAGAATGCCTTCAATTTCTGGAACAGGAGTTGGAGATCTAGAGAGGTAGATCAGTCGGCAGTTCTCAAAGCGGAGTTCAATCTCAGGTCCAGCATCCTGTCTTCTAGACCCTGCTGGCCGGGTGTGGTCAGGGAGTGATCAAATTACTGAAGGAGGAGAGCCAAGTGTGGTGGCACACGCCTATAATCCTACTAGTCTGAGGTTGATGCAGGAGGATTACAAGTTTGAGCTCAGCCTGGGCAATTTAGCAAGATTCTGTCTCAAAATATAAAATAAAAAAAAGGAGCTGGGAGCATAACTCAGTTTGAAGGCTCTGGGTTTAATCCCCAGTACCATACCTTGGGCTGGGGATATAGCTCAGGGGTGTGCCTGCCTTGCAAGTGCAAGGTCCTAAGTTAGATTCCTGGTACCAAACAAACAAACAAATATATATATATAGCTGGGCGTGGTAGTGCACGCCTGTAATCCTAACACTCGGCAGGCTGAGGTGGGAGGATCGTTGCGAGTTCAAGATCAACCTGGGCTACAAAGTGAGCTCAAGGCCAGCCTGAACCGCATAGCAAGACCCTGTCTCAAAAAGACAAAAAACAAAACAACAACAACAAAATCCCCAGTACCACACACGCACATACACAGACATCACTGAGGGAGACAGATTGATAGGGAAGAAGGGTATGGACAGAGCTTGCGCACTTCATTTGTGTGTGGGCTCTTCTACTGTCCTTTGGGGGGGCAGGGGCGGGCATGTCTGGGCCCAGGGTGATGAGCCCATACCATGGCTTACACTCAGCTGTGCATACTGTGGTCTGCGTGGCCTTTCCTTGCCAACTGGTTTCAGGAGGAAACAGTTCGTAGCAGGCACAAGGCAGCAAAAGCAGTGGTGTAGCAAAGCAGTGGCAGAAGCAGCAGTGACAAGCAACCACAGCAGCCCTCTTTCTGTCCCTTATGTTCTCTCCAGGGTACCTACCCTTAGGGTCAGTGATACTCACACCCAGGGTGGGCCTTCTCATTATCCATTCTCAGAACTATGCCAGGCCAATCAGTGGGCTCATTTAGTAATCACACACCTTGATCCCTGCATCACACACTCTAGATCCAGCCACCTCTGAAAAAGCTCCACCTATGACTGCACGAGGCTTTGGGGGGACGTCTAGACATACGCCATGACACTTGCCTTTGCCCATTTGTGCTGCTATAATAAATATCATAGGCTGAGTAGTTTATAAACAACAGATATTTATTCCTCAGGTTTGGAGACAAGGAAGTCCAAGATGAAGGTGGTGGCAGATGCAGTGACTGGGGACAAGTCACCTCCAGGTTCATAGATGGCTCTTTTTGCACTGCCCTGACATGGAAAGAGGGGCTACGCTGCCCTCTGGGCCCTCTTTCATAAAAGCACTCACCTCATCCTAAGGGCTTCCCCTCAGGACACAGCGGTCTCCCAGAGGCTCCACCTCCTGACACCTTTTCAGGTTGGGATTCAACATAAGGACTTGCGGGGTGGGGGTGGGGAATACAAGCAGTTCAGATCATGGCAGGACTCAGAAAAGCATTTACTGGATAATTCTGAGTTGATGCATTAATTATTGGAATTCTGACCCCAGAAGCCACAATCAGAAAAACCTTTAAAAATATGCTGTGTATTCTGCGGTTATTTGATGACTCAGAGTGATATTTTAAGATAAAACATTGTCAAAGCCGTATTGAAAGTTAAGAGGTAAAAGCCCAAGTTTAAATGTTTTTAATCAAGGAAACCACACAGTCATTATAGCTTCCCCACTTTTCCTGGTGGTTTTGAGATGTGTGCAGCACGGGCTGTCGAAGTAAGTAAGCAGTCTGCAGTGTCCCGGTCGTCAGCTGTGTTTTGCCTTTCTTTTTTCTTGTAGAGCTAAGGATGGAGCCTAGCCCCTCATACCTGCTTTGGATCAGTGCAAATCCAGAGGCTGCCCTGGGGAGTGACGCGGTGTGGCCAGCAGATCACTGCAGGGTATAACTTGAGAGGGAGGGCATTATCCACGTGGCTTGTGTTGGGCTAAACAGCTTAATAACAGGCTGCATAATTCTCAAGTGTTTTCTCTAGCATCCCTGGGTTGTCTGCATGCTACACTGAGTGGCAGGCAGGTTCAGTGTTATTATCCCCCTCTGAGAGCAGTGATACGACTTGACCAAGATGGTCCAGGCAGTATAAATAGTGGACAGCAAGGACCACTTGCTGGATTTCCGACCTGGTGTTGTCATTGTGCATTTGATTTCAAAGGTTTTTCCTGAAGCCCAGGGCTGGATGTGCCTCATGGTGGTGTTGGTGAGGTGAAGCTTCTAAAACAAAAGCTGTGCTGGGAAGAGGAGTTGGGCTCAGGTCGGTAAAAGCTGATCTCATTGCTCTAATACCCAGGATGGGGCTGGGGATATAGCTCAGTGGCACAGCACCTGCCTGGAAAGCACAAGGTCCTGAGTTTGATTCCCGGTACCAAAAAAAAAAAAAAAAAATCAAATACCCAGGATGGCAAATATCAGGGACTTTCCTACCTCCTACCTCTTTTCCAAGCACAATGGCCTCATTGCCACTATTTTATTTTATTTTATTTTTTTGGTACCAAGAATCAAACTCATGACTTTGTGCTTGCTGGGCAGGTGCTGTGCTGCTGAACTATTTCCCCCGCCCTATTTATTTTATTTTATTTTATTTATTTTTCCAAGCTAAGAAAAAATGGTAGGATAAAATTAATTGAGGCATTGGAACAAGCTACTGGCTATAGCTTCGTGATGGTCTAAGTAGGCAATGCCGAGCCTGTTTACTCCTTTGTAAAATTAGGGGTACCAATTCGTGACTCCTAGCATTCACCTTTTCTCCTTTTTCCAATTTTCAAATTATGTGTGCATGTATAGTATATAAACTTTTCTTCTCTTTCTGGATGTATGTGTTTGTGTGGAGAAAGACAGAAAGAGACAGAGAAAAGAGACAAGAGACAGAAACAGACTTAAGAAGAAAGAGAACATCCATAATTATCCCTCAATAAGTAAAACATTTTCAGCATCTCTGAGGCTTCCTAGATGCTCTTGTTCGTAGCCCACCCTCTCTGATATATACTTATCTCAAATTCGGTGTTTAGTATCCTTTGTTTTCTTTATAGTCTTATTGTACGTGTAATACGCTAAGCCATATACTATTTTTTTAAAGCCATATACTATTAAATTCGCCTGCTTTTTAACTTCATATACATGGTGTCAAACTTTCACTTGTTCTCTCAAGATTGTGTTTAGCCAGGCTTGATGGCGTACAACTGTAATCCCAGCACCGTGGGAGGCTGAGGCAAGAGGACTGCAAGTTTGAGCCAATCCTTGACAATCTGGTGACTTAGAGAGACTCTCCAAATAAGAATATTTTAAGACAGCTGAGGATGTAGTTTAATGTGAAGACTCTGGATTCAATCCTCAGTACTGAAGAAAAAAAAAAAGAAAGAAGACCGTGTCCATGTTCATGAGATTTGTCTCTGAAGGTAGGTGTAACTGTATTTCATTTTCACTCCTATGTAGCATTGTGTCTTATGAATATGCTACAATTTTTTTCTTTTTCTTTTTTTCTTCCCCTGTGGTGCTGAGTATTGAACTCACGACCTCACACTTGCCAGGTAGGTGCTGTACCACTGAGCTATATCTCTGGCCCTGCTACAATTTATTTATCCATTAATTTTTCCAACAATGTACATTCAGAGTGTTTCCAGTTTTTTGCTGCTGTAACAACACTGTTCTGATTATTCTTTTTTTCTTTTCTTTTCTTTTTTTGTCTTTTTGAGACATGGTCTCGCTATGCAGTTCAGGCTGGCCCTGAGCTTACTTTGTAGCCCAGGCTGATCTCAAACTTGCAATGATTCTCCTGCCTCAACCTCCTGAATGCTGGGATTACAGGCACATGCCATGTTTTGATTATTCTTGTACTTATTTCTTAATGCACATTGGTGAGGGTTTTTCAAGGATATATGTTTTGGAATGGAATTGCTCAGTTGTAGAATATATGCATCTTCAACTTTTCTAGATAATGCAAAATCGTCTTCCAGAAAGTCTGTGCAATTCATTTCCCTACCAGTAGTGTATAAGATTTCTTTTGTTGATCCTGCTTCCTTGCCTACCCAGATTGTGGCCTATGCTATGTCAAGTTTCCATATATGTCAGGATCGTCTGGATTCTTTGCCTTATTCTTTGTGTTATCACTATTCCAATACCAGATATCTTAGTGACTGGAGCATCCTGATGAATCTCGGCATGGTTAGGCAAGCTCTCCTTCCTGTTCTTTGTTAGGAGCATCCCTCCCAGCCTTGCATCCTCCCAAGCGCTTGGGCCAGCAACCCAGCTGACTCTTCCTTCTTTCACGTTCTTTATCAGTTCTGTCAGCGAGCCCTGTTGGCTCACTGCTGAGACTATGTACATCATCTGACAATGTCTAATCACCTGCATCTCACTACGCTAGACCAGCCCGTCACATTTCTCACCTAGGCTATCAGAAGTGTCTGAACTGACTTCTATGCTTTTGCCTCTGGCTCTTAGAGTCTATCTCAATCCAGGAAGTAGAGCCATTAAAAAAATAATTAAGACAAATTATGTAAACTCTGTGCTGTGAATACTTCAGATCTGCGTTCTTCTCAGAGTAAAACCCCAAGTGCTATGGTGGCTCAGGGCCCCTGTGGCCTCACTGAACCTATCTCCTGTCCTCCCTAGCCAGCTCGCTCCATTTCAGTTACACTGGGCTCCTTGCCAGTGCTGGGACACATAAGGCTGTCTCAAAGCTCTTAGCTGGGCATAGTGGTACATACCCGTAACCCCAGCCTTTAGGGAGACTGAGGCAGGAGGATCATTTTCAAGTCCTACCTG